GCCAACCCAAGTCAAGTAATAAAATGACTTTCCTAAGTCCAGATGGCTACCCAGTAGGGATCAGGGCACAGAGAGTACTTTTAAAATCAGCCAAAAAGCAATGATTATTTATTGAGCAAAGTTTGCAAAAACTGAAAGGGGGAAAATCCACTCAGAATCCAATGTCTCTCCAACAGTTAAACTTATTTTCTCAGTTTAGCTTGTTTTTGTCTGTAATCAGAATTACTATTTTTTTTTTACACAGAAGTATTGTAATCGAAGCACAAATTCAAATGGTGTCCATTTTTCCCCCCAGTTAGTTCATCAGAAGTTCATGTTACAATGAAGTTGACTAGTAGTTAATTGTCAATGACTTGGTCAAGTCTTCTTCCACTAAACTAGGCTGCTTCTCGTTGTACTAAACCCCTTCCTCTCATTTTTCACAAGTCTCCCACTACTTGTTTCACTTTCCCCCTAGCCTACATCCCCTCAGAGAGGTTTCTGAATTTTTTTTCTTAATATTTTTTTATTGATTTCAGAGAGGAACGGGGAGAGAGAGATAGAAATAGCAATGATGAGAGAGAATCATTGATCTTGTCACCTCCTGCACGCTCCCTACTGGGGATCGAGCCCACAACCCGGTACCCTTCAGTTCAGAAAAGGCCAGGCCATTTCTGAATTCTTAAAGAGCTCCCATTTCCACTCTGGGCCTCCACGGGGATGTCTTTATTCTCCTGGGCCTGGGGGCCTGGGGAGGAGGGGGAGGGCGGTTCCTGAGGTTCCCAAGAGGAAGCTTCAGAAACAGGCCCAGGCCCCAGCTGGTTTGGCTCCATGGAGAGAAGGGTCCCAGGTTCAATTCAGACCAAGGGCACGTGCTGGGCTTGCAGGCTGGATTTCCCACTGCCGGGCGTGCAGGAGACAGCCAATCAATGATTCTCTCTCATCCTTGATGTTTCTCTCTCTCTCCCTCTCCTTTCCTCTCTGAAATCAATAAAAATATATATATATTAGCCGAAACCGGTTTGGCTTAGTGGATAGAGCATTGGCCTGCGGACTCAAGGGTCCCAGGTTCGATTCCAGTCAAGGGCATGTACCTTGGTTGCGGGCACATTCCCGGTCGGGGGTGTGCAGGAGGCAGCTGGTCGATGTTTCTCTCTCATTGATGTTTCTAACTCTCTGTCCCTCTCTATTCCTCTCTGTAAAAAATCAATAAAATATATTATATATATATTTTTTTAAAAAAAAAAAAAAAAAGAAAAAAGAAAGCAAGCAGGCCCAGAAAGCTCGGGATCTCCAATGGCCATCCCCCAGGGCTCAGCTTAGGAACCCCCAGACTCTACTGGAATAGCAAGACTGCAGGGTCATTGTGGGGTCAAGTTGAGGGGGCCCGGCCCAGCCCTATCCACGTGACCCCGCCCCAAGGGGAAGATTTCATTTTCCCGTCGGAGCGGACGCTGGTCGTGACAGGCAGATGGCCGGCCCCCTCCCCTAGGGGACTGGGGGGTGGGGGTGGGGCTCCTGGGCGTCCGTCTGCGGGCTCAGCTGTGACGCCATCTCCGCGCGCCCGGGGCGGGACGCGCTTGACGTCATCTCCGGGCGCCCGGCGGGGGGGCGCTGGGTGTGGGGCGGCTCCGGGGCCGGGGATGGCGGCGGCCGCGGTGGCGGCGGCTCCGGCACGAGCGGGTGGAGCCCGGAGAGCGCCGTGAGATGGGCCGGTGAGTGTCGCCAGGAGCGGGGGCCTGTGTGCCGGCCCCGCGGAGGCCGAGCGGGCTCGGGCCCGGGGCTCCGGAGGAAGTGGCCCCCGGAGCCCGCCGCCCCGTCGAACCGCGGACCGAGGCGGCGGCGGCGAGAGAGGCCGCGCTCGGACCCCCGCGCACTCCCCTCCGGCGCTGCCCGGGGGGCGGCCTCGGGGTCACGGCGACCCCGCGGCTGTGATCCCTCTGGCCGGGGTGTCCCGAGTCCTTGGGGGCAGGAAGGGGCCCCAAAACAAGGAAGCATCACCTGCGGGCCCTCCCCCCTGCCCCTCTGCTGTAAGGGACGACCCCCCACCCGCACCCCTTGTCCCACACACTCTAAACGTTGAATTCCCAATTTCGGCCCCTACCCTTTTGGGAGCAAGGATCGAGGGGTCCCAGGAAGCCATACCCCCTAGTATGTTTCTTCCAAGCTCCCCTCCTTCAGGCGGGCGCGCCTCTCGCCCCCAGCGAATTGATTCTTTGGTTCATCTGGCAGCGTTGGCACCTCTCTGGAGCCGCCCCCCTACCCCGTTAGCAGGGTAGCAGGCTACGTCTTCCCCTTTGGAAATCCTCCTTGAGCCCCTCCAGACTGCCGAGGTTTCGGATTCCGAAATGTGCCCAGCGTTGTGGGAACCCGGTACACAGGCTTGGCTCTTTGTTGTCATTCCCGCAGACCTTTTGCCCCTGTCAGTCCTTTTACGAGCTTGCGTTTGGCTAACCCGTCAGTGACCCAGGGGCAGGTTTTCTTTCCTGTGTTCGTTGCAGAGAGCAAGGCTCATGCTTAGGGTTGAAGAGGTGACCCCCGTTTTTGCTGGGCACGAGGGAGAAAGCTGACTGCTTTTCCGTTTACTGGAACTGCCCAGCCAAGAAAGGGTTGCATGACTTGTGCCCATTGTGTAACTTGTGTTGATGGAGCTAAGAATTTGTCTTTCCACCTTGGTTTTTCCTCTTATCACCTTCCTGTCTATATCCCCCCCACTGGGCCAATCTGAAGAGTTTGGTTTGAGGTTTGGTTTGAGGCTTGCAGTGTTCCTTAGGATTCGGGCAGGATAACGGGTAGTTTCTGAGTCCTGGTCAGTACTGCTTTCCGTGTAGGTATTCTGAGATAAAGGCTCTGTCCTTCAGCACCTGATGTTTCTGGCATGCGTAGATTCAGATATTGACAGTTTGGCACGAGTTTGTTTTTCCCACGGTTAGCTGCTTGAGGAACAAGGCAGTGTTTTCCATTTTTGTTCTCCCTGATTCAGCACTTGTACCAAGTTGTCACTCAGAAAATTTTACACACACACACACACACACACACACACACACACACACACACAGGAGACCTTTATTTTTATCCTGAAAATCTGTTAATAAGGCTTCCCCTTGAGTAACTCCCCCCTGACCTCTTTTTCTGCCCCAGAAACATAAATAATTGTTCTTTTCTCTCTAGTGCCGCTTTTCTCATTTAAATAACCTTCACAAGCATGTTTTCATCAAGCTCTGAATAAAAGTGAACTCTGGGAAGTTGATTTTTCCTGCTTCCCATTGTTCACTTGGGAACAAGGTTGAGTCGTCCACTTTTATTTGTGCATTTACCTAAATTGGGATCGGAAGTAAATTTAACCTTTGGGGAAATAGGCACAGGTAGAGAATGAAAGATCTAATGTTAAGGCAAACAATGAGATTTGACATGGAAAATTTTTCCAGCGTTGTCTTCCTACAGATCAATGTGCTGTTACCTCTAAAGAAGAGTGGTAGGCAAGGACTCATGGAGTTTAATGTCTTTGTGACTTTGGAATTACTTTTCTTGATGATCCTGGGAGGGGTCAGAGGTGAGGCTCCTGCTTACTTTATCCCTATGTCTGTCTTCTAGGTTCCCACTCCAGCGAGGTGAACACTGCTTCTTACTACGGCTGCTCAGAAGCACCATTGGAAGCTCAGGTATTAAAGGTGCTTTGGATATCTTGTTGCAAAAAACATATATACATATATCTGGGATTCAACAGTGGAAAAACAGAACAGACTGTAATATAGAAATCTCTTTTCAGATCCAAACCACTGGAGCCTGATTGGAAGAAATAGGTGACAAAGTTCATATGCATTGAAGTGTTCAGACCAAAAAAGATACTTTATGACAATGGACAAAAGCATGTGTGAAAGGTGACAACAAGAGAAAAGGGGAGAAAGAACTTGCTTACCAATCATACAGACCTAAGATAGTAACAAGCAGGCATATTTGGAGAAATGGAATCAGAATTTTAGGAAGCGATGCCTAGAGCAGACCTGCAGAGGAAAAGGAGCCATTGACAAAAGAAAACACAAAAGAAAAAAGGAAAGGGAATGAATGAAGAAGGCAAATTGCAGGTGGTCAATGAGAAGAAAAGAAGTTGAGTCTTCCTCTTTTATTTGTGCATTTACCTGAATTGCCAGACTAGGGAGCGCGAAGTCTATGTGAGGTCAGAGGAGTTTTGTTGCTCTGAGGGGAGGAGGAAAAACAAATAAACTGTAGAACACTATTCCCGTCACTCTCCCCACAGAGCCCAGGTTTGAATGTGGGATTTCCTGGGACAAAGGATACTAATGTTCATACCAGGTTTAGGGAGGGAGCAAGGTTTAAAAAAATAAGACATAAGCAGACCTGAGGACTTATTTACATCTGGGTTCTTGAGATGGTGGTGATAGGAGGCAAAAGAGAATGAGAGTTTAATCAGGCCTGGGGTGGTGGACTGGGGATAGGTGAGATCATAATCCAAATTAGGCTGGCAAAAGGAAGTGAGGATGAGGTCATATATTCGGGGAAGAAGACAGCACAGTCGTCCTTGGTGGCAAAAGAAGAAACTTAGGAGGAAAGAGCCAGCAGCAAAGACCATGTGTTCAGTTGCCTCTTAGGGAAGGATGCTGAGAGTAGTCAAGGTCCCTATCGGCACAGCTAATCATGAAGCTGTTGGTCTCCGGGTTTGTTGAATGCTTGACCTTGTAGCTCTGTGGTTTTATGACTGTCTCTTTCATGTCCTAGGCTGAATGAGTAAGGAGGTAACATCCTCGTCTGACCCTCTCTCATGCCCCGCTTTCCCCAAAAGTCCTCTTTGTTACATCTTCCTGCGTGGGTACAGTTCCTGCTGTTTCCTTTGATTTGGTTCACCCCTAGGTTACTTTTCTTTGCCTCTGATTTGTTCCCTAGCAGATGTGGGCGCCCCAGCCAGCAGCAGAGAGGGTTCAGGGGAGCCACAGAGAAGCCCCTTCTGATGCCCCAAGGAACAAGCCGACCCCTTCCAGGCTCCAGGAACATCACAGAGCAATATGAAACCTGTTCATGAAAGGAGTCAGGAATGCCTTCCACCAAAGAAACGAGACCTCCCCGTGACCAGCGAGGATATGGGGAGAACTACCAGCTGCTCAACTAACCACACACCCTCCAGTGATGCCTCGGAGTGGTCCCGAGGGGTTGTGGTGGCAGGGCAGAGCCAGGCAGGAGCCAGAGTCAGCCTGGGGGGTGATGGAGCTGAGGCCATCACTGGTCTGACGGTGGACCAGTATGGCATGCTGTATAAGGTGGCTGTGCCACCTGCCACCTTCTCCCCAACTGGCCTCCCATCTGTGGTGAACATGAGCCCTTTGCCCCCCACATTTAATGTAGCGTCTTCACTGATTCAACATCCAGGAATCCACTATCCCCCAATCCACTATGCTCAGCTCCCATCCACCTCCCTGCAGTTTATTGGGTCTCCTTATAGCCTTCCCTATGCTGTGCCACCTAACTTCCTACCGAGTCCCCTTCTCTCCCCGTCTGCCAACCTTGCCACTTCCCACCTTCCACACTTTGTGCCATATGCCTCGCTCCTGGCAGAAGGAACCACTCCTCCCCCCCAGGCTTCATCCCCGGCTCATTCATTCAACAAAACCCCCTCTGCCACCTCCCCACCCGGGCAGCTGCCACATCACTCCAGTACTCAGCCACTGGACCTCGCTCCAGGCCGGATGCCCATTTATTATCAGATGTCCAGGCTACCTGCTGGGTACGCCTTGCATGAAACCCTTCCAACTGGTGCCAGCCCAGCTCTTACCGCTCAGGAGGGTCAGTCTGCTCTGGAAGCAGCCCCTGCCAATGGACAGAGACAGCGAGAGAGAAGCTTAGTCAGACGGGAAAGCGAAGCCCTCGACTCCCCCAACAACAAGGGCGACGGCCAGGGCCCGGTGCCGGCGGTAGAATGCGTGGTGGATGGACAGTTGTTTTCAGGTTCTCAGACTGCACGGGTAGAGGTGGCGGTGCCAGCTCACCGAGGGACCCCAGACACCGACCTCGAGGTCCAGCGGGTGGTTGGCGCTCTAGCTTCTCAGGACTATCGTGTGGTGGCAGCTCAGAGGAAGGATGAGCCTAGCCCCCTCAACCTGTCCCATCACACCCCTGACCACCAGAGCGAGGGGCGCGGGGCAGCCAGGAACCCAGCAGAGATGGCCGAGAAAAACCAGGCCCGGGCGTTCTGCCCTCGGTCCAACCAGGAACCGGTGAAACATAGACCTTTACCCAAAGCAATGGTTGTAGCCAATGGCAACCTGGTGCCCACTGGAACCGACGCAGGCCTGCTGCCCATGGGCTCGGAGATCCTGGTGGCATCAAGTTTGGACACGCAGGCCAGAGCCATCTTCCCAGACAAGGAGCCAACGCCACCCCCCATTACCTCCTCCCATTTGCCCTCCCATTTCATGAAAGGCGCCATCATCCAGCTGGCTACCGGGGAGCTGAAGCGGGTGGAGGACCTCCAGACCCAGGACTTTGTGCGCAGTGCCGAAGTGAGCGGGGGGCTGAAGATCGACTCGAGCACGGTCGTGGACATTCAGGAGAGCCAGTGGCCCGGATTTGTCATGCTGCATTTCGTGGTCGGCGAGCAGCAGAGCAAAGTGAGCATCGAAGTGCCCCCCGAGCACCCTTTCTTTGTCTACGGTCAGGGTTGGTCCTCTTGCAGCCCTGGGCGGACTGCACAGCTCTTCTCTCTGCCCTGCCATCGGCTACAGGTGGGAGATGTCTGCATCTCTATCAGTTTACAGAGCTTGAACAGTAATTCAGTTTCTCAGGCCAGCTGTGCTCCCCCAGGCCAGCTGGGTACCCCCCGAGAAAGGCCTGAGAGGACAGTCTTGGGACCCAGAGAGCAATGTGACAGTGAGGGGAAGAGCCAGCCATCGGGCGAGGGCTCCCGAGTGGTAGAGCCCTCGCAGCCAGAGCCTGGTGCTCAGGCCTGCTGGCCAGCGCCAAGCTTCCAAAGATACAGCATGCAAGGGGAGGAGGCACGGGCTGCGCTGCTCCGCCCCTCTTTCATTCCGCAGGAGGTGAAGTTGTCCATCGAAGGGCGTTCCAATGCAGGAAAATGAACCTCTCTCCCTGACCAGACTGGGGCTCTACCCCAGAACTGGGCCTCACCGCGAGCAGGCAGAGGATTTGCACATGTTGAGCAGGGAATGGCTCTCTTGGCAGTGAGATTGGGGGCGGGAGGTGAGGGGAGAGGAGGCATGAAGACAGCCTCCCAAGGCAGGGTCTGTTGCTCATTACCCCGTGGCATCCGTCAGGACAGCCCCCGAGGATGCTGTGATGGGGAGCAGCAGGCCTGGGCCAGGGAAGTAAGGGGGTGCATGCAGAATAAGAAACATTCCAAATATCAGGGCCTCCCTGTTCTTTCCTCCCCATCCCTAGCTCCTAAAAGGGGAAAATCAGGTTTGGGGAGCAGGTGGCAGAGGGAGGGAGCAAAGAAAGAGCCAAAAAAAAAAAAAAAAAAAAAGATGATCCACAGCTTATAGTAGCAGTTCAACTGTCTGAAGTTTTTTTTTTTTGTTTTGTTTTGTTTTTTTCCTTTTTTTTTTTTTGTGGTGGGAGGGCTGGAGGCCCCATGGTTAGAATAAGGAGGTTCCCACCCAGAACTCTTCTTTTGAGAGCTGTGCACTTTAAAGGGTAATTTTGTTACACAGATGTCTGTGGCTGGTTTGTGGGGGAGGAGTACTCATCTGCGGGGCTCTGGTTGATCCTGCTTCAACCCTTTTCCATTTCTCTTCACCATTCCTTCCACAAACTTGTAGCGCCAGGAGAGAGAGAAGCCCCTCCAAGTAATGCTGTGGCGGGGACCCAGTCAGGGGACTTTGGGAGAAAGAACATATGGCCAGACTGAATGGGCTCTAGGCAGGTTTTTTGGAAAGGTAGCCGACCTAACAAAGCTCCTCCTACCCAGCATGCCAGACCTGCTCCAAAATTGTATTATACTGAATCTAGTTGGGAATGGTAACTTCTGGAAGAACCAGTGGACCTTTTTCCCTAGGCCCTGCACCCGTCCCCTGTCTGTGTTGTGCCTAAGTGCCTGCGTGGCTCCCACCCTTCTGCTGCCCTAACCCCTCTGCATGGTTTCTTGACCTGGCCCTAATCTGTAGCTGCACTGCCTTTCCCCTTCTGCAAAACCGGTTTTGTCCGCTTGGACCAAGGCCAATAGTTTTTGGTGTGTAGGGGTCTCCCTGGTTTCCCCTTCAATTGTATTAGCCGATTTTAAAAACTCAGAAAGAATCATGTCCCTTCTGCAGCAGAACAGCTTGGTGGAGAAACAAGATGAGAACTGTGCCCTGAGTCAGGGCACATACACCCGGCAGGGCAGTTTTTACACAGCTTCTCCCGTTTTAATTCCACTTCCTCTCCTAGCTGTCCCCTCTTACAGCCAGCTCTAAGGTTCTGGGATAGTCTTGATGACGTTTCAAATACCTGAAGTCACCTAGATTTCATTTTGTGCTGGGGTATTCCTCTGCAAAGAGTATTTTCAATCTCAGTTGCATTTGCCCCTCTGTCTTAAACCCACATTTTATTTTTATTTTTTACAACTTTTAGCAGCAGCTCAGGCTGTGGGATTCTACTGGGTATTGAGAATTAGGCTCCCCCACCAGCTTTCAGGTGAGTGGGTGGGTTTTTTGTTTGTATTTCAGGGGTCTTTAGACTCTTGAAGCAACTCAGGGTATTGTCCACCCAGCTCTCTGGTGAGGCTTCTCCCAGGGTATGATCCTGGCATTTCCTTTAGAAATGTCTTCGGAGGGGTCAAGGCCTGGCCTGTCATCAGGAGTCTCCAGCCTCTGAGGTCTGATCTCTGCTCTGTCAAAGACTTTAGGCAAGTCTTGTGACCTCTCACTCTTTCACTTCCTCCCCAGCTGCCAAATGGGGATAAATAATCTTACCTACCTCCTGGGGGGAGGCGGAGTTCTGAGAATGGAGTCATTCTTAGTGTTCAGGTGCTAAAGGTTGTTCTCCTGGGGGAACAAAGTGGCTGAAACTGGCTTGTTTTTCACAAGCCCTACACTCCACTGTTTTATTCCTTGAGAGCAGTTACCTGGTCAGCCGCCTTCTGGAGGCTCATCCAAAGGAAGCTGCTGACCTGACCACAAGTACTTAAGTCTCTGGTTCACCTCGGAACCAAACACCAACCTTGTCTGGTGAACACTCAACCTTGTACTCATTTGGGATCATGCCCTTTCCCTTCTCTGTTACCCCGTTCTCTCTGAATGCTGCTTTCTTTGGTTTATTTCCTACCGTGGGGGCCTCTGGGGCTGAGTCTTGAGGAATCTTCTCAGATGATGGCCGTTGGAGAAGGTCTTCTCTCTGGCTGTTCCATGAGCAACTCATCCCTAGGGATTATAGTTTGCATGGGTTTCGCAGAAACACCCTTCTTATAGGAAGGCTCATCAACTGAATAGTGACGTGCACACGGTAGATACTCAAGAAATGTCCATCGGGGACAGCTTCCTTCTTATGGGAGCAAATCTCTATCTAACCAGATACCTGCCAAGTAGTTTAAATCAAATAACCCTCTACTGTACTCAGCCTGGTAACTTCCCCTTAATCCTGGAAAGAAAAGCTTGTGCACCTTGACAAGTTGGGCGCTGCCCTTTCTGCTGCTGTTCCTCTTCTGTCTCTTGCTGGGAAGGCAATACCAGCAGCTCCCCTGATACTGTGCCATGAACATGTAATATACATCAGTACTTGATTTTGTCAGCTGCAGAGGTGTCTTGTAAAATAAGGTCTCCCAGAAAAAGAAGCTCTGTGCTGTGATTCTTGGTCAGAGCTGTGGTATTCCCTTTACCGTTTCTCTCTGGTTCAGTCTTCCAGGCATGAGGAGTAAGAGTAGCTTATACCATGTCCTTTCTTATAGGAATTTCATAAGTTTGCAAGAGATCTAAGTGATTTTGAGAGAATGAGCATTTTGGTGGGAAGCTGTCAGCTTTTGGGGGAATAGACAATTGAAGAAGACCAGAGCCAGTCCCTTGTCAGGGGTAGGACATTCCCAGAGCTTAAGGCTAGAAAGGAGCACTGCTAACTTTGGCACAAAGTAGAAATACCACTTTGAAAGTAGGGGAACCAGGTAAAGGATGGGTATTGGATCATCATTCCTATCAAGATTAGTGTACATGGTGGTGGGGACGGGGTTATGTGGGGAAGCAGAGCCTGAAAGTTTAGAGCTGAGCACTCGTATCTATGCGGAGGGGCCCCAGCGGATCTGGACTGACCCTTCTATACTCTTGGTCCCAGTTAATCATTATGCCAAGGGCTTTGGTCTGTGCTGCTTTGCCATTGCTGCTGTCTGCTCATTGTCCTGCCTGCTGCCCTTATAGCTCTCTGGCTTTCCATGTCTCTGGCCATATACGTGAAACCCAGGCATCCTTTCCATTCTCACCTGTGCAAGTGTTACTTCACAGCAGAGTCTCGGTGTCTAGGAAGAGTATGGCTTGCTGCTGGCAGGCTGGTGAATCCAAAGGGAGGTGGCTTTAGTGCTTATCAGGAGCCCTTTGGCTCCAAACATCTGAGTGTCCTGAGGAAGAAACAAGCCGGTCCTGCTAGTAGGTGTTTTCTGTGTATTAATTTCTCTCCTTTGTGGTATCTTGTAGCCTATTTTTTTAAATGAATGATGGGGAACCAGGTTAGGACCCGTGCCAGCATCCCAGGGAGGTTCATCTGGCTCCAGTTCATCTGGTCTTGGGTTGGGAAAGGGTTTCAAGTTTGAAATAGCCCCGCTCAGTGGGTTTTGGTTTGATTTTTACTCATAGGAGATGCACAGGTGGGTGGTATGATTGAAACTTGCAGCAGGCAGGCAAGAGTTGAGTGACCACACTGGAGATGAGGATGGACATGGATTCGCTTGGAAAGGGCCTGGGTCCATTGGAGTAAAGATAACCTGATTTAATTGGCCATGGGGGATTAGGTCACAGTCTTAAAAGCAAAATAAAATAGGGCAGAGGCCAAGTTTTAGGGAGGCTTCTTGGCCTCCTAGGGCTAAGTTTACTAAACCACACTGAAGCTACAGTACTTTCCAGATGGGAAAAAGTGTACACTACAGTTGAAGAGCTGAACTGCTAAGTTGGATGTTGACCAGGAACCTATTAGCCCTTTGCTGGGAAGCCTTCACCCTCCAAACTTCCATGGAGTAGAGAAGGCCTTCCACATTATGCAATAATAAAATAAGCACCTGGGTCTTTGCAGCTGTCAGTGGCTCTTTCAACTCTAGGATCATTGTTTGGACCGGAAGCCTGGTCTGGGCCTGAGATAACACTGGCCCTGGAGATGCTAGCGTTGACTGCACTCTCTCCTTACCTGCAGACTATGCACAGTGCCTGGGGCGGAAGGGAGAGAGGTGGTGTGGTTTGCCCTGCTGAACCTCCCCAGCAGGAACAGTAGTAATAAATGCACTTTTCACACTAAAGTTTCTTTAATAGTCCTGTTAAACCTAGATTCTCCCTCTTTAGATTGCAAACTCAAAAGTCTGTGTGGTCCCAAAGCCATTCTAACTGCAAATGCTCAGCAGTGAAGGTGGCCTCAAGTTGGGTTCCTGCCTGCAGTGTGTGTGGCAGCAGCCCATGTGCCTTTATCTATTGTCAAATTTGCAAGCATTTATTTCTGTCACGGGGACTGAGGTTCATCAGAGAGAGCGAGCGAGCACGAGCGTGAGCTGATGACACAGTGATTTTATACCCCCTCCCTGGATAGGGAGTTTGCACGTAGTTGTGAGCTGTGAGTGGTTAGTGCATTGCTGGTATTACCGAAGGCAGAGTTCATCCCTCATTTGTTTAATACATTTGAGAGAATATTGTGTTGGGGGAGAAACCAACTGTTCTCATGGCAAACTTGAAGTATTAAAAATAAGGCTGTCCCCTACAACCTCCCTAATCCAATACAGGATCCCTGTAGCCAAAAGTATATGTTCCAGCTGCAGAGGGCAAACTGCTCTCAGCTTGCACAGCACCTTAGGGGAGGGAAGAATATATGGATATGGAATGGGGTGGAGAAAGGATGGGAATGTCATTCAATTGGCTTTAGAATCCCAAGGAATAGAGAAGGTGGGCACGGGGGAGGTCTG